TATATATATAATAATAATAATAATAATAATAATTTACAGCTAGGTCTATCGATTCATCTAATGGTATATTCGTAAATAAACTTTCCACATCAAATGATATCATGAATTTGTTTTTTAACTTACTGTCCTTGATGGTTTTGACGAATGTAAACGTGTCGGTAACGGTGTATTCCTCTGGTATATGTGGTTGTATCAGTTCGCTTAAATATTTGGCTAGTTCGTAGTTGTAGGTTCCAAATGACGAGATGATTGGTCTAGTATTTGGTAAACCATCATCACCAAATGCTTTGTGTACTTTCGTTAAACCATATATTATTGCCGGTATGGAACCCTTCGGGTAAATTCGTTTGTAAGTGTCTGCGTCAAGCTCTCCAGTTTTATGTATACTCCTAAGAAAACGGTGTAAACTTCCTTCTTGTTTGAGTGTAGGGTCAGTGTTGATTTTAACGAATTTCGTTTGATCTTCTATAATGTTGTTTATACAAGCATTGTACATCGAACGGTCTAAAATAATGATTCCGTTTCCTTTGTCTGGTTTTGTTATAACGATTTCCTTATTTTTCTTTAATTCCTTAAGTATTCTTATGTTCCTGATATCTTTCTGTGATGGTTTGTATGAATTCACGTATGTATGTGCTAAACCAGACAAATGCGCTTTTATTTCAGCTGATTTGTTAGTGTCGCATAGATGTTTTACCATTTGACGACAAATTGACTCGAAACAAGTAAGGATGTCACTCTTGCTTATTTTTCCTGGTCGAATAGAAAATCCTAATCCAATTTTCAATAGGTTCATTTGTTCTGGCGTAGGCGTGTATGAAGAGATGTTAGTGATCGTGTCTTTCGTGTCATATGGTATCCTCACGTTTTTCGTAATTCTGGATAATTTGGCCTCGTGCTTTTCAATGACTGTCTTCATGTACTTGTCCACATTTCGTTTTACTGCCTTGTGTAATGTATATAGTTGAATTAAATTAAGTTTTGATTTGATGCTTCTGGATATCGCTTCAAACTTCAGCTTAATAGTTGCTCGTTCTTTGTATCTCTTGTTGATTTGGCTCTTTAATAGTCGGCTTCTTATGGCATATGTATCACTTGAACTCACGTTAGGTAATTTAAATGTAATAAATTTAGGGAAAACGCCGAAAATTCTACAATTTTTTAGAAAATGTATGTCTGCGTCTGCTTTTTTCAACTTCTTGCTAAGTTTCTCAAATAGCCTGAGGTCTTGCTTTGTGACCGTACTGGTCTGTGTAAACTCATTTACAATACAGCCAAACTTCCGAACAGAAAGTAGTATAAAGACGAATTTAAGAGCAACAAAAATACATTTAATAGAACCAGACATGTTTCTTCGTATTCAATACGACATCTTCAGTGTAACAAAACAAAAAACCGAATTCAGATATCCTGAGGTTTATATACCGTACCTTTGCCTATAACTGATGCATATTAGAGTCAATTCATTCTAAATAGGTATTTGAATATATAGTAGCGTCGATGTCGTAACTTGTTGGCACGTTAAAGTTACGTAATTCCAATTCTAGTTTCTCAAAATTAG